ACTTCTACAATAGTCACAGTAAAAAAATTTCTCTTTCTAAGAGACTATATTTCTTTTAGACTACATCATATTTAATTAATCGCGAAAAATGTAAGTAGATTCGGGGACAAAGAAATTTCGATCGTTATTACGCATGAGCCACGTTCGCGAGAAATATATAGTATGTACACACAGTGCGCACACAAGGGCCCTATCATCATAATCCCTCTTAGCCGAATGTTCGCAGCGTTGCCCACGTTACGTGGCGAATTTTCTCCGCGCGCGGATTTCGCGGATATACGAGAGAATGCAAATGCGCACGTTAATCTCGGTAATAAATACGCGCGATTCATCCGTTTAGCATTGCAGCTGCGACGCACACAGCGTCGAAACCTCACGCTCGCGCAATAACGTCCCTCTTTCGCCGCACGTACAGCATCTTTATTTCCGCCCGCGCGCGAATGACTCGCGTGCCGAAGTGCCTCCATCTGCGAGATTCCGACGAGGCTCCATAACGATATCTCGCGACGAGTGTTACTGATCGAGGTGGAGAAACCCGGCGATTGAAACCGGTATATTCCGGAGTGCAGATTTCGGACGTGATAAGATCGCGCTCTTTCTGAGCACGCGCACGAGTATTTCATTTAATAAATGTATACCGGGACACGTTATCAACACTCTCTTATTTAATCAATTTACTCCGGTCGCACCGATAAAAGATACGAGAAAATTCTAGCCGCGCTTTATCGACTAATGTCGCTATTAGAGACCCATAGTGTCCGACTTTGCTAGGAAAACACAACTATATAATAGCGTCTCTCCGAGGTCGATCCGCGCACTGGTTTATTTATCGGACCGGGTAATCTCCCAACTAGCGAGCTTTAATCTCGACAAACTTTAAACACCGAGGTGGAACACGATAAACTATCGCGCGCGCGCGCGCACTCGAGGGAATTTTCGCGACGGACAAGCCAGGGGATAACGATTTCCATAGACATAAAAATATACCAACGCAAAATATAACTGCAGATTCCTATTTCGAGGAGTAAAGTTCAAAAGAAAACCGGTGAGGTGAAGAAAAAAGGAAACGACAATGTTGAAAATAAAACGCGATTTTCCAACATTATTAGTTTTCCAACATTACACGCTGCATACAAAAATTGCTTACTGACATCTATTTAGTTAATTAGAAATCTCAATATTTATGATATCACTTTGAAACTTTCTTGAAAACTTTCCACGTAGCGCAAAAGTCTGTGAGGCGCATCGCAATATTCCGGACATCTTTTAAACGTCTCTTCGGTTTTTACGTTATTTTAAACCACCGGAATCCGAATACGTTTCCTCGTTAATCAATTCGAGCTACATACTGTTCTTACGAGGCGTAACAAACCAGCATGCATATTTTCGCAGCGCGTGACTAATCCTACAGATTGCAGTCGATATTTCACGTCGACTCCGCGCGGTGCATCAACGCGTCCCCGATATTGGCAGCGCGCGACGACGCTATCCGGATACGGTATTCCGTGTGGTAGACGAACTACGTGATGCGTCGCGGAAAAGTCGCAGAATCCGCTTTTCCGTTCGCGCCTGCGCCTCCCGTCAGAAAGAAAAGCGCGACAGAAAGAGAGAGAGATAGATAGATAGACGGACAGAGACAGGAGAGAGAAAAAGAGAATGAGAAAAAGAAGCCGAAGTCATAAAAGCTGATCGAACTCGTAAGAAACCGGCGCCATTTTCTCTCCTTCCTTTCTGCCTACGTCCCTCCGCTTTCCTTTCCTTTGCTTTCCCTCTCTCTCCCTCCTCATCCTCTCGAGCTTCCCGTTTCTGCCTCTACGTTCCGCTTGGGCGACAAAGACGCTAAGCGGCTTCGCAACTCATCGTACGGTTACTAACGCGCGGTTACAGTTATGATTGTTAGGGAGCCAATCAGGCAGATTTCTCAGCCGCTCGGTTGAAGAAACGGACGACATGTCTCTCTTTGTAATAACTGTGTTTAGAAACCGATGCATACGCACGTTTGCCTTTGATCTTCTCATCCACTTTAAACGAATTTGAGATAAAATTATTACGTTAATGTGAATAAAAAGACGCGAATAAAATATATAAGGAGTTAATAAGTGTGTCAGTTCTTCTTCATTCCGGTATATCTGGACGATTATTGAAGTCGTAGAAAAATTAAGACTTTGTTCCACTAATCAAAATGCGTACGAATGATTGCTCTACTGAAAATGAAGAAATTCCTCGTTGATCGCGATGCTCAAGAGAATCAGATCGCTCTCATCACGTTCTCATTAGGAACGTTAAAATACTCATTAAGGAAGGTTAAAAGTCGAGAAAACACCTGTTGAGTACGCGAAAGGACCAATCGGAGCATGGCCGGGGTTCATTCGCACCCTGCGAAAGAAATAGTATTAGCGATCCGAAGCCGAGGCGCGGTGTCGCGCGAGCGTAATGAGAGAATGCTGTTATATAATTAAGCGGTTTAACAACCTGAAAAGGGAGCCGAGTATTTCTATCATTTCTATTCGCCGTAATAAAAAACACTCGAGAGAGACGAGAGTGTAACGATTCCGAAGTCATTAATATTCAAATGGTGGATTTTAATGTCACGTCGTAGACCGGTTGTAGGATCGTAGAAAATTACCACCGCGCAGAAATTCGTACGATTCTATCTCGGTTATCATTATCGATGCTTTCACCCGCCGTCGCTTTAATGAAATGATCACTTTTCGTTCGACGTAAGAGTTTTTACTCTCGAGAACGACCGTCCGTAGAAAAGAAACTGGGTGTAACTAAGAATTATTATCCGTAGAATCTTACTATCCAGAACTGCTCTCGAGAGTAAAAGGACCGTCAAAACGAGCGTGATCTGAGGTAATCTCTTTCGTAATAACCGGTTAAAAAGCAAGGATCTTTTTCAATTTTTATTTGTGGCACGATTCCCCCAAAAGAAATTATCCCTTTCTTCCAGCTGAAGCATTGTAGATTAGAAATAAATTTCGACGAGAGTAATCCCGGTGGGGAACAGCGCGGACAAGAGCCAAGGGTGAAAGTGAAGAGAAGAAAGAGGGAAAAGAAGGTCATCTTTACGAGTGACAGGGAAGATCCAACGCGGGTCCTTGACTTCGCCATAACGACCGTGTGAGGTTTCCCTGAAAGGCCCTCAAGATAGCTACAGCTACGCCAGATTTGAGGTCGGAAGGTCTTAACCTTAACCTGTGGAGGACGGGAAGCCTATTTTTAGGCTCCACGCGGGTCGCTTATTTTTAGTATAACATTTTAACACATAAAAATTACAAAAAGTGAAAAAAATTGCCCGTCTTCTAAAGGTTAAGGACCCATGGATGTCGCTACTCAAGAATGACCTTCAATGTTTCACGAAGGACGTAGAAAAGTTTATGAAGACAAATTTTAAGAGAGGCAAACCGACCCTCTTGCGAAACAAATGAATTAAAATGCGCTAATGCCTACGACAGCGTTACGTAATGTGTAACGCTGAGTAACGCGAGTAATGAGTAACGCGAAGACATCATTTTGAACAATGGCTGTCGCAAAGGTCAAATTGGACTTCTCGAGGTCGAAGGCGAAGGATCTCGGTGCTGAGATAATTACACTGCTCATTTTTCCAGGCCGTGAAAAGACTTGTTGAGTTACGAAGTCGTTTCGTGGCGAACGACGGAAGCAATGTTCGCGATGAATCGCATTACTGCTTAATTTCCAAGAAACGCTTAAGCTCTATTATATAGTAATCACAAAGTTGTGCCTTAAGTAAATAACTGAAATTTTCTACATATCGATATTGAAACATACGCTGTGACATAATGTTTAACCATCATTCATAAAATTCGCAATTTTTATACATGCTATATAGTAATAATATAATCATTAATATCCTCGATACCCGCGAGTAAGCGAAAATTCGAATATCTTATTCATGGATAAATTGAGTAGCGTTAATGACTGTGATTGAGGGCAAATTCATTAAGCGCTCTGCGCATTACCGTGGATTTATACACAGAGTAAAGAGGGAGACGGCTATCGGTTAACGTTAATTGAAGCGGTCAGTGAATCCACTTGGCAAGGTAGGTACCTACGATTACTAACTAAACGGTAGTGAAAAGACAGGGTGAGAAAAGACGAAATGGCTCTTAAAACGCAAGAGAAAGATCCATTAAATTAAGCGATCAGACAACGCGAGGCTGGGATTCTGGTTGAATAAATATGAAACAAAAGAAAGAGAGAGATAGAAACGGTAAGAAATGAACATTACATTTTCTCGCCTTTTCGCTCATTAATTATTCGCGAATTTGCAATACCGCGAATAGCAACGCATCATGCTTGATAAAATGCCATTTGATAAAGGAAAATAGACTCATACTCGTTTTAGAACGCGGTATGACCGTTAAATGCGCGCAGCGAGATGCAATCGTGTGCAGCGAAATTGATCGACAGGCCGGTATTCGTCGCTACTTTCATTTCCCCGTACAGAAACATTTTTGGCATCATCTCGTCGAGAAAAAAGACCGCAAAATGTGTTCGGTGTGTCAATTTAACTGACACATGACGCTGTTCTCTTTATCGAAAGAGAGAGATAGAAAAAAAGTATTATGGCTGACAATAAATTAATGGCTGGCGGACAACAGCTGTTTTAATTTCCATTTGCGAAAATATTTTATCACGGTATAGCGTTAGTTAGATTAAAGTCTGTAACGCTCGCGTAGCTATATATTTAGAAAATGTTAGTCACATGAAAATCAATGTATATAAATACCGGTAACAATGAATAATGATGTAATATTTAAAAAAGATAACTCGAAAATTTCCATAAATATTTTAGAAAAAAGTTGAAATATCTACTACGATTTTTTTGAACGAGTGAATGCTCGCCGGATGTTTGCGAAAAAAGATAATCAATATCGTCGTACGCGAGTGCGTGCCGAAACATACAGTGGCGGGGGAGGGAAAAAACGGTGTTTCGCCGATCATCGAGACAGAATAAATGAAATATATGAACTCACCCTGACGGGGGCACGGAAGAGGTTCGGCGTGGAGACATGTATGTTGGGGTGATGATGATGCGCGTGGTTATGGTGGTGGTGGTGATGGTGTCTCGTATCAGGACCACCTCCCGCAGCCGCCTGCTCCGCCTGGACCGACATCGCCGCGCGGGCCTGTCGCTCTCGTTCCCGAAGCCGGTCCCGATCCACGCTGAAAACCAAAAAATTATTATTCGATTAATTCCAAATATATTCACGTAAAATGCGAGTAAAACGTTCCGAGTAAAATGCGAGTAAAAGTAACGGAGTGTCAGAATTAATCTTTGCTTAAGCTTTTATAATCGCTTTTGTACACTATGCTACTATACAATCTAATATTTGGAAATTGTTGACAATATGCCCACACGGCAAAATTGCTGTCATTCTTATTCTGTCAAGTTTTCTAAATTATAAAATAGGATTACTTATTGTTATCAGGCATAATTTTCCGCATATTAATTGCCAGAGAACATCGGTGCTTTGTAACGAGGAATGTCCTCGTCTTTCACGGAAAGCGAATTCACTTCGCTTTATATGACGGAGGTGGAATTCACTCATATGACGCAGTGCCGAGAATAACTACCGGTCTTTTAGGAAGCACCGATGGAAGCGACGAACGAAGAGTCGAGACAAGACGAAGAGACGAAGGCAGAGACAGAAGGGATTCGTGACGAGGCATAGCGAGGGTGATCGCAGCTGGCGCAAACACCTGTTTAGTCGCGTTTCCGGTGACGCCGATATTACATATAGAACAAAACGCTACAATTTTGTAACGATTATTGCCCACTCATAGGTAGAGGCGATTGTAATAATTATAATTAAATTAATAATTAATAATTACAAATTAGATTATGTAGAAATCTCTGAGTTTAATTGTTTTTTATTTATGAATCTTTATCGTTGATTTATAGAATGAAGATTAAATTATAAACTTGGTTATTACAATAATCTGAATTTAAAAAATTTTACGTTACTTGTATAACAAAATAATGTATCAGTGTGAAAATAAAATTTACTTTCTCTTCTCTGAAATAAGACCGTTTTATAAATCATATAGCAATGTTTTCTTCCAGAAGTATCGCATGTATAAATTATCCGCTTTTTTGTATTTCAACTCGCAGCACGTAAGGCAATCAAAATGGCGAGTATGGGGCGCAAAGAGTGCTTTAAATAGACGTCTAAAGGTCGGTCGGGATGGCTTTCCTTCTCGTACGTGCGTTATCTGACATAAGTACGTTGAACGACTTGTCAAGAAGCGATGCTAATGCCGCCGCGCGCCCTGGTATGTTTACCGCAGAATTTTTCCAAATGCATTAACATAAGTAATGCACGCGCAGCGGGAGACCACGGGAATGCCGCAAAGTATACGGTCTCATTTTTAATCGAGATAGAGACTTTTCTCCACGGCGAGTGCGATAGATGCGATAAAAAAACGTACAATCAAGAAGTATGTTTTTAGCACGTGCACAACATTTGACAGGAAACGCCATACGTCATAAGACATGAAGAAAAGAAATACGTGTTATACGAAGTACAAAAGGTCGCGATCTCGTGTTCCGATAAATAAATAAATCGCCACATAAATTACCAAGTCGCGAGACAGTAAGAAATAAAGATTTCATGTACATAAATTTATTCAGGTGCGAAAGATATCAACTAGTCATTTATTAAAGTTCTTAATACCATATGTATACACACTCGTAAAACATGCATATTTATTCGATATAATGTCAAGAAATTTATTCTCGAGGAAAGAATCTGCGCATCTCATATCATAAAAGTTTAAGTGTCATTTTTTGGAGCGGAATACCAAACGACAATCTTTTTCCTGAGCCTGCCTGACACTTGCAGCGTGAACGTTTAACTTAGCTCAGATAACGATGGCGAAGCCTGGATTGTCTTCCATAAAGCGAGCACGTATTCCGATTAGGAGTCGATCTCCCGAGGCGCGCGCGCGATCCTCGCATCGTCGCGGCGATACTTTCTCGATAGTCGAAACGTGCACGAACCGAAACGAAACGTGCATGTCGATGAGCGAATCGCTGCATTGTCATGCAAATTAAACGTACCGGCAGTAATCACCGTTCGCCGCGACCGCTTAATTGCGGATGAATAGTAAAGAACTACACTATCGTATTCAATACTTCTCCATTCCCGGATTATTCCTGGCTTCGGAAAGGCCTGTGCACGCGAACTTTCATTCTCGCCGCATCTGACATTTCAGACGTATGAGATCAATTAAATGTTCTAATATTATTATCTCGATGCTATTAATTCCCACATACCCAAAAGTATAAAAACTTTTGCAGGTCATGTCGTGCGCACGTCTCCCACAATAAAAATCATATAATCCCGTTTCGCTAAAATAACGAATTAGTTCCAAATTATAATTAACGTTCTCTCGGGCTCTCTTAAACGAATAACGTCTTTCCCTCTTATTAATTCAAGCCTGCTTATTATTCGTGACACCGAGAAATATCCGATGGAAAGTTTAATCGCGTCCCCAGTCGTGCATGTAAGCGACTCGGTAATTTCTCGAGACCCGTAATATAATCGAGCGAAGTTAAGAACGACTCTATTTGTCCCGGGGTGTGCACGCGCTTGCGCTACTGGAATACATTTATCCCATTGCCGCCGGTACAGAATCCCTTTCCGCGCGCACGCATACACACTCACACAGGCACGTGCATTCGGATGGCACTGGCACGTTTAGTCGCGCGGGTATTTCCACGGCCGAATGCGGTCTCCTTCGTCGCGTCGCGATACTTTCTCGACCGATACCCCCGACCCGTCCCTCCGCGTGTCGTCGAGGCTCTTTCTCTCATTTTCTTTTCGCCGCGCCGCTTCATGCGTCGTTAAATCAGCTAGAAAGTGTACTCTTAACTAAATCGACGCCAGGAGAAAAAAACCAGACTGCTCGTTCTCCCAAGTCGCTTGCCGTTAATCGCGATTTCGTAACGTTCCGAGATAAAAGTGCGAGACGAATGTGAATTCCTCTATGAAAACTCTCATTAGAAGAATAAATTTATCATCAACATTAGCATAATTGCATAGTTATCCTATTTCAGGCTAAAACGCTTCTAAAAAGGAAATGTAGTTCTAATCACCTAAAATTTAACAATGTTCCGATATAACTCAATTCATATTGATTCGACAATATTAACCCGTGCTTTTTCATCCTGAACAAAAATCGACGCAAATATTTAAATTGAGATAATTCTGTTTAGTCAGCTCTTTTTTTTACTCGCTCTTTCTTCGTGTGGAAAAACGCGAAAGATATCAAAACATCTCTATCCGCGCGCGAGGAAGCGAAATTCCAAGCCAACACACATCGGTCGGCTCGTCGGCGTCCGCGTCGGCTCGGCTTTATTGAATATCTGGGAATATTGTCACAGAACGGTCGAAGTTCATCGAGCTAACGAGCTCGAACCGCTCTCGACAAGTGGCGAGCGTACTCCCTGTCGGTTATTTGCACGATCGAGACCCCGGGTGGTCGCCGCGCGAGGAATGGATCGGACAGTTTTCAAAAATGTTCGTTTAACAATCCGGCACAATCAGCCGTCGACGGTGGCGTCTACCGTTGGAGAGCCGCGCACTGAAATCACTGCTCGCTCTCGCAGCGAAATCGATTGCCTTTTTGATTTCCATACGTTTCGCTATTTTTCATAGGTATCGGTTCTTGCGCCCGCGATTGTTATTTGCATGCACGATGGTCCATTATGGATATACAGGGAATAAGTAAGGATGTATATTCGCACCATCAGCTTGACATAGCAAATTAACTCTCATATTCGGAGAGATTATATGCAATATGTTGCCTCATCAATTTATATGGGTATTTCCGTTTACGACTCTCTAAAATTTTAACGATAAAGTTTACAAATATGAAATCCACTTTTCATTAGGAAACACCTGTTGCAACATTTCAGTATTATATTTGATAATGTACTCAAGAAATGATAATAAACTCTCAAGAAGAGATATGATATACTTTCATTCCCAAACTCCATTTCCTCATATTCTAGTATTTTAAAAGGAACCATTAGATGGCCATAATAAATCATTTTTAGAATAAACGATTTATTATCGTTATTACGGTCCATTATTTTTATCGTTTAGTTCGCAAGGTGCGCATGTATCCCGAGTTTTGTTTTACTCGATTAATGTACTTTTAAGTACCAGCTATTCTCTGACGGCGTTTTCAATTCCCGACGAGCGTCGCGATCGATTTAATCCTCCGTGGATTAATTCGCGCCTCTTTCGCGACCGACGTAGCAGCGGCCGAATTAGCCGATATTTTTTCAATATCGGGAGAGCGAATGTACCGCGAGGTGGATTTTCCTCCTCGTCGCTCGAGCGAACGTTTAGCAGCGGCGGCACCGCGGCGCGCGGCGTCCCGATCCGCCCCGGAGGCGGGATATTGCCATCGTAGATAATTAATTCGCGTTAATCGCGGCCCATTTGAAATGGTAATGAGAAAGGGATGATTTAAAGCGGCCCTCGCCAGCTGCGATTCGCAGTTCGCCGATAAGAAGAAAGAGAGAGATACATAAAGCGAGAGAGGAAATGAGAGAGATAAACGAACCCTCCAGGGACGAAACAAAATATACACTAATTGGTAATCTAATAGTTTAATGATACGACATAAGTATTTCGATATCTATAGGTATATCACGTGTATAAAGATAAAAAATGAATAAAAGAAGAGTTCAAATATGTTCACGTTAACAACTGCGTTATCTCTATAAAAGTTTAGCATAAAAAATGTAGAATAAAAAAAAAACAAGAAAAGGAAACGCGCGTTATCTCTGGCCATGAAAAGGCAGCCGAAAGTGAAATTAATGTATTATAAAAGGCGAGGAATAAACGGTGATTGAATAAACGAAACACGAATCGAAAAGCCGACTTGATCTGCCTTTAACCGCACGCCTCTTCCTCGCCGATCCGTTCGACGTCTATTACTCCGAGTTTCTAATCCGTCTCGATCCATCGTCTTGACTTTAAATCCCGGATTACACGTAATAGACCGGCCTCAGCTATCGCCGTTTTCATCGGCAGATGCCGCGATTTGCTTCCGTTCAACGCGATTTATCGGTCGTTCTCGCGTTATATGTCCACAACATAGTCAATAAGCTTCCACGCGGCTCTTGTGACGAAATCGTCTATCTTATC